TCAACAAAGTCAAAAGTAATATCCAAAAACGAATATTTCTTTGAAAGGATCACTACCAGAGGGACTGGGAGAAGGACTGGCAGAGTCACCATTGGAGTTCTGACCCTTTTGATTAAAAGCTTGGGCTTCACGTGATTTAGGATCCAAGTGCAGAAGTGCTGCTCAAATAATTTCAAACAAGAATTTTTTTAGATAAATCAAATCTCTCCAATATCTTTAATTTTCAGAGTTGAAAAAAAAAAATCAGAAATAATAGCATCACAGAGAAAAAAAAGACCCTTTTAGAAACACTTTTTCTCTTTTTCAAACATGTCATTGTCTAGTTATGGAAGAGAAAAGTGGGCAATTTTGAAATATACAAATTGAGGATTATAAATTGATAGTTAGTGTAATATGCCAATCTTTTGTTCTTTTATGGAAAATTAATGGCTTGATGCCTAGCAATCAGTTTTTGTTCAAAATATAGAAATTTTAGAATTTGTTTTAGCTTTATCAGGATAACGAGTTTCGCTTCGTTCTTAGAACCAGAAGTCTAATATAACATCTTACAAATATTATAAGAAGTTTAGATATTCGACTTTAAATCTAATTCAATATCATGATTTGTACGATTTATATACTTTGAATTCTATAGTAATTTGGGACTTCCAACAGAAAATCTAGCTTAAGCACCAAATCAGTTTTTTCTAGAATAGTTTTCAAAATAAATGTTTTTTCGTTTTGGAAAAAAAGAATAACAACTAGAAAATTCTTTCTCATCTTGTTTTTTTCTGTATTCATCTTATTCAAGCTCTCCTTCAATCTCACTCTCTGTACCAACACCATTTTTCACAGTCTGTCTGAAAAGAAAAATCAAACATACCCTTAAAACTCCTTTTTCCCTCTTAATGACATATTATGGTCAACTTATGAATGATAATACCATTAATCATATTATATTAATTAACCAGGCTTTATAATTCATTGCATAGAAAATGGAACAAGACACAGTAATGTTGTGTTCTTTAAGGAAATGGAAAGCTTGATTTGGACATACCAGGACACTGGGAGAGATTATCAGGTGTTTTGCAAAGAGAGGGGAGACCAACAGCAATTGTAATATTAATCTTCAAGCCAAGGTCAGGATCATCCCTGTCTTTGAGAATAACGCAGATGCACTTCTTGTTGCTCTTCAAGGCTTGTGTGAGACCACTGCAACAATCTGCTGTTGGTGCTTTTGCCTCACCACCCAAATATGGCAGACACGTTGCAACCCCTGTCAGTGATTCTGCACATTTCTGTTTCTCTTGAGCTGACTCCCCCTTTGCATGCATAACCAACACCAATGTTATTGCTAACACTAGCATGTGTGGCGGTGCAGCTCTGGAATACATTTTCAATTCAGATGAATGAATGAGTGGGTAGAGACAGATTATATAGACTTATAGTTATAGGGTATGAAAAAAGATTTATGATTAATACACACAACAGGGTTATAGGTAGAATTTGTTAAGTTGTAGTGCTACTACATATGAAATGTCTTGTTCATGATTGAATTTATCAGATGGTTTTGTA